AGAGAGAGAGAGAGAGAGAGAGAGTAGTAGTACATACGTGGACACGAAAAAGTAAACAGTTTTGCTTCCTTCTCTCCAGCATGTCTGTTGTAGTGTCCACTTTATTTATACTGGCATCTCTTTGGGACTCCTTAAGGTGCTGACGTGACGGACCCCTCTTTATTTTTCTGGAATTTTATAAAATTCAAAAGTCTTTTCCCAGGCCCAGGAAGGTACGTGGTTGAAATGCAGTCAGACTCAGACCTGCTCTAATCGCCACCTGCCACAGACAATCATTATCAGTGATCACCAGTACAATTGCCACTTTTCACTTTCACTTTGTGTATTTCAAATGTTATAATATGTATTATTATAATGACACTGTACAAGAAGTCTTGCTGGGTAAGAAAGGCAATCACTTCTCCTTTTACAACGGATGACCATCTTTGGCAATTTTGACTGCACATAATAATAGTATGTATATTATTTTGCTTTCAGACAATAATGTTTCTGCCTTGAAGAAAAGGTTCAGCTCTTGGATTACTGGGTACACAAACGAGCTCAAGAAAGTGAACCAGGATCCTTTAAAAGCATACACGCCTGCATGGGACAAATATAACAGTTTGGATGCGTTTTTAAACCCTCTTTTAATTTTACAACGGAAGGTAGCCTACATTATGTTTCTTAGTTGTGTCCTTGTAATTTTGTTGCTTTTATAAGCAATCTACTGAAGCCCAATACGAATTTTCGCTTGCTACACCTTCCCAAAGCTCTATGATCAAAGATGCATCTCTCAACACCATCAAAATACAATTTAATGCTGTGGTCAATGCCTACTATTTTTCTTGTTTTTCATGATTCCTAAAGGAAAACACAACAAAAAGCTTTTTTTTTGGTCTCTTCCGTGAAAAGTACCCAAACAAACTTAAGTGGATTGCTTTTACATCAACGACTCTGGATCTTTTTAATGTTTTTTTCCCTTTCAGATCTTGAGAAAGAAAAAAAAAACCTAGCAAAGGCTCTAGGGTTTTTCAGGGATTTGGATTAGTCTAGGCTCAGTTTTCTGAAAATCTTTCCTGCATTTCTCAGACTTTTCATGATTTGTATAGCCTTGAAAGAATCTTCCTGAATGATACTGGAAAGAATTCATACACTTCTCATCCTCATCTCTGTTTAGATTTTTGCCACAACTTTGTGTAATAGACAATGGTTATCATTTAGTCACCACAACTACTTTTCTGTTAAAAGATATACAGTAATGCAGTCTCAGGAAGGAGAAACAGAAATGCATGCTATTACATAACAATAAAGTGGGTATACATATATGCAACTACTATATATTAAGTTTGGGATGGGCAATTCCATGGTAACTGACAGGGACAACCCCCCCCCCCCCTCCTCGGATCGTTTGTCCAGTCAGTTACGGAAACTAAACATGTCACTGAATTTGCATAATATGTACTTTTCTTTTTCAAATGACTGCAGTTAATATGTATATATGTGAAGCGTGCTGACAAAACGAGTTACTTCTCAGATTCAAGCCTTAAAGAAACAGATAAATCACGCTTATATGTGAAGTTTTTACAGTTCATTAGTATGAAACAATAAAAGACAGGTTATAGTTAAAGAATATGGCATCAATTGAAAATCTACAAGTTTGACCCTTATGTCGATTTTTGGCCAATATCTCCATTTCTGGATTGCGAGAAGTAACTCATTTTGTCAGCGTGACTCACATATGTCTTTCAAATGTTCTAATCATTTAAACTTGAAATAAATTGATAGATATTGAATTATAGGGTTATCATTGTTAGAAAGTATCAGTATAGTCCAAATGTCCCGTCAGTTACCTTGGAATAGCTCGGCTGCAAGCTGTGACCTTTTTCCTTAGCTTTAATAAACCCTGCGGATTAAACAACGATGTATGGTAGCTTCTTTGTGGATTTTCCCGATTGCACGTGCGCCCCTCCCTCATCTATTCTAATAAAATGTTAAAAAATTGACGTACAGGATGATCCAAAATTTTTTATACTTTTTTTCTGAATATCTCACACAAAAATTGTTCTAGAATGCTGCAATTTGGAACAGACATAATTCATTCAAAAAGAATTTGTTTGATATAAAATCTACGATAAAGAAACATGTTTTGAAAATGGAAACGGCTAAAGATAAAAAGGCACCCAAAAAACGCAAAGTTCACCAATGTTCAAAAATCTTGTAAAGGATTAGTTGACCTTTTTCTTTATTTTCTCCCTGACATTAATTTTTTATCCCTGTGCCAATTAAACAATATTCAATCTCTTTTATAGACTTTTAAAAACCTAATGATTTCATTCTGAAATTCCTAGAAGCAGTGCTTCACATTCCCTCCTTTGGACTCGACACATTTTTAACCCGTCATTCGAAATGTTCAGTGGCGCCCTAACACAAGGACCTGTTAAACAATGAGTTTTTAAAGCCACATACACTGTACATGTTCACTAAGAAGTGACTTCTACTTCTAGAGACAATAGAGTGGGGTGCCCAAGAGACAGCATTTTTAGAGTTAACATATCCCACAGGATGAAAATGGGCTTTTCACTAGACCAAATGTCATCAACGAAATGATCCCTCTTTAAAAGACAATCGAGGAATCATGAACACATTGCCATGCTCTGATCCATGTCATCTCGGCCTAATGAAGATGAACATGGTATAGTCGTAGGTTAAGATCTGCCATGAGAAAGCAGACTGTTGATGTGTAGGAAAGTCCTAGCTGCAGATCGTCTATGGATAGACGTGTCATGGGACTCGGCTACTGAAATCTGCACTCTGGTGACGTTTAAAGGGCTGCGCATGGTGCGTGTTCGACCTGAAGTGGTCATTTTTAAAGAACTTTTTAGTTCTGATTCGCTATAGATCCAAACTGACGGAACTTCTCTACTCATGACGCCAAAGGTCTTGAGGGCACCTAGGCATTCTCTCCATGCTGTGCGCAGAACTTTCGAAAGTCAGGGATGGTGAGTTTATGGAGAGGTAATGTTCAATACAAAAAGCTATCTGCTCTTTACTAAATGTAGCCATGATCTCAGCAGGCAAACAAAATTTGGGGAGAATAATATCTGCAGACTTCTGCTGACTTGTTAGACTGCTGTAGCTTGCAATATGGTGCGATTGTTGCAACTTTTAGTGGTAGGCATAATGCAAACTGGTGCGTCATGCTATGAAAATGGCGACAAGGTTGAAAATGGGTTTTTTAAAAATGTGCTATATATAACAAAACCATTCAATGGTATATCTAAAATACATTTAAAAAATTCTTTTTGGCTTCCAAACGTTATGTTCAAATCTGAAACGCAAAACTTCAGTATGGAGGAAGATATTTACAAAACAAGTTGTAAGGTTTTGTTGTTGATCAACCTGTATTTTCCTTTTAACACCACACTTTAGCGTACACGTCAGAAACACGCTTCGCAGACGGGTGGGTACGTTTCCAGACTCCCCAATCTGCTGTGGTTTATAAACCAGTGCGGCTTATTTGTGAAAAAGCTTCAGAATTTTTAAAAATGTAGGCTTATTTTCAGATGCGCTTGATCATTAGCCCAAGTTTAATGGTAGATCAACGGTTTTCTAACTGTTTGTAACTGTCCATATCTCGGGTATTTTTTCTTGAGGGAATATTTTTTTCGGAGAGGCTAGTCGCCCGATCTCGGTCGAGTAGCCCGACGCTACTGGCCTGGGGGGATTTCTGCGCATGTTCCGGTCGAACGAATTCGATTGATTTTCCCCGCCTGGCCAGCGGCCTCTGGCCCGAAGGGATTTCTTTGCATGCTCCTTTAGAAATTGCGTGATCAATCGTGCAAAATCCAGTCACTCAGTCACTCCTTGCCCCCCCCCCCCCAAGTCAAGAGTCGGATCGGAAGATGGGACCTGTCATATTGTATACAATAATGACTGTATAGCACCGGGTCAGCTTGTGAACCGAAGCAGAGAGAAAACTACACGAATCGGTAATTCTAATCTTCTCTCTCTCTCTCTCTCTCTCTCTCTCTCTCTCTCTCTCTCTCTCTCTCTCTCTCTCTCTCTCTCTCTCGCTTTCTCGCTCTCACTCTCTCTCTCTTTCTCTTTCTTTCTCTCCCCCCCCCTCTCTCTTTTTCTCTCTCTCTGCCCGCAGACAAACTTTCTCGCGTTCAACTCAGCGCTATGTGTTTACACTCGTATCATAGGCCGTCACGCGCTAAGACGAGGTAGATCTAGAAATCTAACGTCCAAGTCTCGTTCAGACGCGAGATAGGGCAATTGAAACATCTTGGTAGTAGTTAGACAATCTTTAATAACATCACGATGCTGCATTTCTATTGTTAGTAACGTTGTCACCGGCACTCCGATGAATGATAATAATTAAATAATAAAGGGTGATAGATCTAGGGGATCTACAACAATGTAGTCAACTCGTGAGGGAAACTTCGGAAGACGACAAAATAGATGGCGGAAAAACATCATCTATGATCTATTTTGGGCCAATTACAGAGGTGTGCTAGGTGCTCTGAATAGCCTCATGTCGCTCGGAAGGTCGCAAGGCCGTGTTTACGCTACCTAATACGGTGTTCCCGCTACCGATGAGATCGGCCGATCGCCCAACTCGGTTGCCTCAAAAACAAACAAGTTTGTTTTCAGTTTCAGGCGATCAAGTCGGGATATCGGCCCGATCAGGCCGTAGTGGGCACCCCGTATAAGACTAAGACTAGATCTAGGTGACCGCTTCGGGTGGGCAGAAAATGCTAGCCACCCGAGGTCGCTGAAATCCCCACGGACCAGTAGCGTCAGGTCCAGTAGCCTGACGCTAGCCACCCGAGATCGGGCGAGTAGCACCGCCCATATTTTTTAGTCAAAAGTACTGTATACAAGGTAGATTCACTGGACTGCCCATCATTATAAATTTTTAGAAATCAGTACGACTGTTATCTAATTTTACAAAAGTATGATCATAATGACACATTTACAAAAATTTGGTTTCTCCGACCTACTGTCAACACCCAGGTGTATTAGTATTATTCCAGGTGAGAAAAAACTACCAGACTCAAACAGTCTGTTCAACTGTTTAACTTAAACATCCTCTTTGCATTGGGCCCTTGATATCGCCCAGTGCTGCTTTAACCTTCGCAAAACATAAGAATTAAGACTTAAGAAGTGTCAGAGCCAGGAGTAAATTTAAGGCAAACATTATGTTGACAAGGTGTTAGAAAATTTCTGCCTTTTTGTGTTGTGAGTTACAGTCCAGGACAAAGTGAGAATCCAGGACAAAGTGAGAATCCAGGACAAAGTGAGAATTTACAATAATAATAGTATTAATAATAATAATAATAATGATAATAATAATAATAATAATAATAATAATAATAATAATAATAATAATATTAATAATAATAAGGATCATTGTTTGAAACTTGAAACAATTAGCTGTTGTGGGTGAGTGGCATGGTGTGTTGTGATGCACAATCACGGCTTTGTTTACGTTAAATTTATACTTGGCTATAAGTCTTGTCCGTGACACCCCCAGGGAAGAAGACGATTCATGGCCATTATTTTACCAATTTTAAAGCCAGATTACTCATTCTTTAATTTGTTGATTACTAAAACATATTTTTTCAGTGGGTGGGTGGCCCTGGATTCAGAGCATCAAGAGGCGGTTGGGGGGTGGGGGTGGGGAGCAAGCTTTGATTTTTTTTGTCTGGCCCTTTATTTACTATCAAACAACTATCGTTCCCATCTCTCCTGCTTTTTGTGTTTGTTACTCTCTTATAACACCTCTAATCTTCAGCATTTGTATGATCTAACTGTGTTGCAAGTGTATAAAACTAAAACGCTTACTAACTCCAAGAACCTGATGTCTCTGTAGATCCCAACACGTCCAGCCAACAGCAAGGTAACTGCAAAACGTTCCCGACCCAGCCAAGGTGCGTCTCATTCTTCATCGGACAGAAAAACGCCCCGGAAAAAGAAGAAACTGAATCCCAGTACGGCAGCAACCCCGGAAACTGTATATGCACGCTTTGGACAATATATTGCCACTACTCTTGACGTGTTTAATCACGATGACGCCGCCACAGCTGTAGAAGAAATTCAAGCGGTTATTGCCAAATATGTGATGAAGGGATGACCCCTCACAGTGGCAGACTACTGCTTCTATCAGTTGGCAGTCACAACATACTAATAGAGCTTTTTTACATTGTACCTGCTTAACAAGATTTACAACAGAGATGTGATCGCATTCATGAAAGTAGATTGTAGTCTTCACAAAAAGTTCAGGACCACTTGCAAAAGTGCGCTGAAAATAAAAACCAAGGAATCAAATTAACCCTTCTTTGCCATGCATTTAATTCATCAATCCATAAGTGCAAAAAAGAAATTTCATCTCAATCGAAACCGAAATGCGTAATTCTCAGAGCTCAAAAGGGACACACCCTCAAAATCGAAAGTCACAAAAGAAAGGATCTCAAAAAGTCTCAGCAAAATAAAAAAAAACGACTAGTTCAAGTTCGTCAATGTCAATGCTATTTACGACAAGGCAGTCAAGGCATCCTGACAGGGCAGCGGTATGTGCAGGAGATCCTTCGACCGCTCGTCATTCCAGTCCTGCAGCAGATTGGGCCTGCTGCTGTCCTTCAGGATGAGAACACCACGCCGCACAGGTCCAGGGCCGTCAACGCCTTCGTGCAGCAGGCGGGGATTACCCACATGGTTCGGCCAGCAAACAGTCCAGACCTCAATCCTATTGAACAGTTGTGGGTTGAGCTTGGTCGGAGAGTTCGGGAGAACCACCATTTGCCCGCCAAATGACAGCAGCTGCTTGGATGGCTGCAACAAGAATGAAACAACATTCCCCCGGCCTTTCTGGCACGCCTGATCAACACAACGCCCCAGCGGTGCCTTGACTGCCTTGCCATGGATGGTGGGCACACGCGCTTCTGACAAATCCATTGACCTTCATGAACTTAAACAGGTCGTTTTCTTTGATATTGCTGAGACTTTTTGAGACCCTTTTTTGTGATTTTCAATTTTGAGGGTTGGTCCCTTTTGAACGCTGGGAACGACGCATTTCGGTTTCGATTGATCATGAAGAAATTTCTTATGGATTAAAGAATTAAAATGTATGCCAAAGAAGAAATAATTTGATTAGCTGGTTATTATGTTGCATGCACTTTTGCAAGTGGTGCTTAACTTTTTGTGAAAACTGTATTTGACGCAAAGGGCAGTACATTGTTCACAAATTTTCGCCGTTTGGTTGATCAGCTGCATGCGCCCAGGTTTTTATTCTTTCAGTATGCAAGGGATTCCACAATTATACACACCCAAGCGCCTAGGGTGCTACTTTAAAACGGCTGTAGTTCAGTCAAATTCTGATGAATCTGTTGGAGCATTCTAACTATTGGTAATTGAGCAGAGAGTCACTCTCTTGGTGAAAATAAGTAGTATGTAGCACAGGACCAGGTGCAGATCTTGAGGTTGACAAAGTCGTTACCTCCAAATCACCACTTAAGTGGCGATCTGGAATCAAGAAGTTCAGTAAATTATGAGCTGAAATGTGGGATCTTAGCTGAATGTAGTCCTTCAAAGACAAAATGAGGGATGGCTTTTGTGT